GGAAGCGGCGACGCTGACAGCGTTGGCGACGGCCGGTGAGTGCGAGCCGAGCGCGCCCTGCGCTTTGGGGAGAACTCCCTCCGGGCCCCCTAGCCCGCTAGAAGCTTCGGGAATTGAGGTGGTATAGCACCCCACCCCCACCCCCCACCCCCTTTCCAAACACATCCTCCAGATGCTGCCCGGGACGTAGGGCAAGGACGTAAGTAGTGGGCCAAAAGGCGTCTAGGCGGGCGCGTTGGGAAGAGGGTGGACTCGCTCCGGGCGTTAGGGGTGAACCGGGTCTGGGGAGCAGCCCGGGAGAGGAGGGGGCGCGCTGGGCGAGGAGAGTGGGGAAGGCGTCGAATTGTTTAAAAACCGAGCAGGATTTCCAGATGCATCTGTGTTCGATTAGGATATCGGTTTAATTATATCTGATTCTATAATTATACCAGAAAAGAATTTGTTGGAAACCCAAGAGCCACCCCCACCCCCGCCCAGATAACCAGGTAAGGGCTTTTTAAGGTCGGCACTGTGAAGCATTTGACATTTGAGAGCGCTCCTTTTCCTTGTTCAACCCGGCCTCTCTCTCAGACAGGATCCCCGTTGTTTTACAGACTTGGGAAGTCAGGCTCAGCGCACCCCATTTTACAGACCTGGGAAGTCACCGGGCGCTGAGTGGCACAGACAGGGCGTGCAAGCATGCTCAAGCGTGTGCAGCTAATAACAAATTGGCTGTTGGTTTGCACCAGAGCGGACTCCACAAGGGCTTTGCCCAACCTACCTGGTGACCTAGTGTACCCAACTTTGAAAACTTGCCAAATACTGTAGGATTTGGCAAATACTTGCCAAATACAAATAGGATTTGGTTTTGTTTACTGTGTAGATAGAAATTAATATAGGTGGAGCTGTTTTTGAAGAAAGTTCCTGAAAGATTTTAATGTGACCCAGAGAATTGGCGACTCATTTAGAGAACGTTAGAATTCTGGGGCTCTGTTAAGTATTTAAGGACCAGTTAAATACTGGTATTGCCCTTAGGTCGTTAGGAACATCACTAGTAGTAAGACTAAAGTTCTCTTGGAGTAGACAGCAGCACTGGGACAGAGGACAGACAGGGGCTGTAGGAATCCCAGTGGTCTCAAACGTCAAAGAGCACACAGGCAAAGCCGGGTGAGGACACTGCTTTTGCTTAGTGACCAAGAAGGATGCTAGGAGTTTCCTCAGTTCTCAGGTGGCAAGTTGAGCCACAGGAGTTTCAGTGTAAATACTGCTTCAAGTAAAGTTTTTGTATTACAAATGGGGGGCATGCAAATAGTGACAGACATCTTTTACCATGTTCTACTATTGTTACACCCCCTGTCTCTCCTGCCTACCCCTGCCCCCAGCCTCCCCACTGCCGTGGGCTAAAAATAACAATTCTGCATGTCATGCATTCCAGCAGGCAAGAAGTTCTTGCCACAAGAGCTAGACTGTTTTGTTTCAGAGCTCAGACCTCTTCTTGCTTGTCATTCAGGTGGATCCCTGAATGTTACAGATCCCTGATACTTGGTAGTCTAACAATTGTTGAGTTGCAGTCCATGTGAAAACTACTTGAGAACTCAGTGGAGATCTGCTTATTGCATAACACTTCCTGTTAGAATGAAACCGGATGGGGAGAACACAGATGTAGGCAATGCTAATTTATGGCGTTGTGGCAGAATACATTCTGCGAACAGTTTGGAAATGAATAGTAACCAGTAGAGTTTAACCGAACTACTACTAGACTCGCTGACTTGTTGGAGAATTGGGGGCATGAGATTAATAAGAGCTCAACAAAGCTACCATTGCTTGCTTAAGTTGGGCAGTCACTAGACTTGACTTCATCATATCTTAAAAGAAAGGATTAGACTGAATTATGTTACTGTGTTTTATAGCTTCACAATGATGTCGTGTAGGGTTTTTCCTAACCTAGAATCTTTGTTACTGAAATAGATAATAAAGGAAATAACTTTGGCTGTGTGTTCTGTAGTACGCACCCTGTTTTACACAGGAGACTGAAGCTAGCAGGTTAGAGCTAACCATTTTCTTGCTACTAGATTCTAGCCAGTACTAAGGGATTAATGAACCCCAGGATATATTTTCTGATTATCCTTTTTCATTCACATAATAGGGGAGAAATGATATTTGTGTGTCTGTGGTGGTGGGGATACAAGGTTTTGTTTCATTGGTGAATATGGAAAGTGGTATGAAACATTTTTGTATTGAAACACATAAATCTGTAGTATGAAGTAGAATACAAAGTTCTCATAATTTTTGTTTTTTTAATCATTTTATTGGGGGCTCATACAACTCATCACAATCCATACATCCATCCATTGCGTCAAGCACATTTGTACATTTGCTGCCCTCATCATCCTCACATTTGCTTTCTGCTTGAGCCGTTGGTATCAGCTCCTCATTTTTCTCCTCCCTACCTGCACCCCTCTCCCTCATGAACCCTTGATAACTTATAAATTATTATTTTGTCATATCTTACACTGTCCGATGTCTCCCTTCACCCACTTTTCTGTTGTCCATCCCCCAGGGAGGAAGTTGTATGTAGATCCTTGTAATCAGTTCCCCCTTTCCACCCCACCCTCCCTCAGCCCTCCTAGTATTGCCATTCTCAGCACTGGTCCTGAAGGGATCATCCACCCTGGATTCCCTGTGTTTCCAGTTCCCATCTGTACCAGTGTACATCCTCTGGTCTAGCCAGACTTGTAAGGTAGAATTGGGATCACGATAGTAGGGGGAGTTCTCATAATTTTTGAGGCAAAATTAGACCTCAAAGATGTTTTCTGTTTTGTGACCTGGCATTGCAAGTGCATTTAAGATTATAATGTCATTCCTCTCCACTTATTAAAAATAAATGTAACTTTTATTGAGGTATAGTTTATATCTACCATACAATTTACATGTTTCACCGAGTTGTGCATAATCATTTAGAAAATTTTCCTCACTTCAAAAAGAAACCTCATACGCACTGGCAATTACTCCTCATTTCTGCTCTTTTAACGCCCTCAACCCCAGAAAACCACTCATTTCTGCTCTTTTTCAATGCCCTCAGCCCCATTTATTTTCTGTCTCTGCAGATTGGCTTGATCTCGACATTTCATATTAATGGAATCATCTTAATGGGCAAGCTCTAAGATTGCCTTCTTTCACTTAGCACCCTGTTCTCACCAGTCATTCATGTTAAAGCACACATCAGGACTGCATTCTTTTTTATTGCTGTCCCCATTGTATGCACACCATATTTTATTTACCTAGTCACTAGTTGATGGAGATTTGAATCGTTCCCATTTCTTAGTTATTCTTAATATTCTAGCTAGGAAAATTCATGTACAAGTTGCCGCGGGTATACATGCATTCATTTTACTTGAGTACATATCTAGGAGTGGAATTGCTGGGTTAAATCGTAATTTTATGTTTAATTTTTTTAAAGAACTGCCTGAGTTTTCCAAAGTAGCTGTACTATTTTACGTCTACCAGCAGTGTGTGAAAGTTAGAATCTGCCCACAGCACTTACTGACATAGAATCTGGCCACAGAGTGTGTGTGTTGGTGGTTGGGTGGTAGACATCTCACCCTCCCCGCAGGAGACTGGGGTATGATTCCTTTCCAGTGCACCTCGCACACAGCCATCATCCACTGTCCATCTGTCCATGGGAGTGTGTGTGCTGCTTTGATGTGAATAGGGTTCAAAGGAGCTTCCAGACTAAGACAGGAAGAGAAGAAAGACTTGCCAAGTTGCTTCCCCAAATCAGCCATGAAACCCTATGGATCCTCACAGGCCAATCTGTAACCAGTCATGGGGATGGTGAAGGGCCTGCTAACATTTCACTCCATTGTACGTGGGGTCACCCTGAGTTGGGGCCAGTTGGAGGGTAACTGACAGGAGTGGCTGTGAAATGTGTCTCATTGTGGTTTTGCCTTGAATTTCCCTAAGGTCTAATGATGGTGAGCCTATTTCCATAATCTTGTTTGCCATGCATGTATCGTCTTTCGATATTTGATCCAGTTTTTAAAATTGGGTTGTCTTTTTATTGTTGACTCATAAGAGTTCTTTATTGATCCTGGATACAAATCCTTCATCAGATACCCGATTTGCAATTACTTTCTCCCATTCCTTATCTTTTCACTTTCTTGACAGTATTCTTTGAAACACGTTCTTAATTTTCATGAAGCCCAGTGTACCTACTTCCTTTGCCACATGTGCTTTGGGTAACCCATCAAAGAAGCCCTTGCCCAACTCAGAGACTCAAAGATGAGCTCCTGTATTTTCTCCTTCAGGTTTTAGCTTTTACACTTAGGTGTATGATCCATGCTGAGTCAATTTATGGTGTGGAGAAAGGACTGACTCTATTCTTTTGCATCTGTTTGCCCCAGCACTTTGTTGAAAAGACTACTACTTACCCCTCCCTCCCATCTAATAATTTCCATCTCTCTACTCTTTGAAGTAATATTCGAGGTTTTAAAGTAAATTATGCATTTACATAATTATATTTATATATTAAAAACTTTGAAAAAGTGTTTGTTTTAAAAGCAGTACTTTATGGTGCATGGATCTCCAGCACAGCTTTGTAAAGTTTTGGTGTGGCAGAATGCAAATCCTGTAAGCAGTCAGTGAGGCCTGTCTGTTTTTCCTTGATGACAGCCAGTGTCAGTATTTTGATAGCCTATGCCTGTTCTGAGTCTTACATATTTGAAAATATAAAGACTTCTGCACTTTGGCAAATGGCACCATTCTTGTATTTTGTGTTTGGTGAATGGATTGAGTAAGTATTTGTTGCATTCTCTTTCTTCAATCACCTAAAAGTATATGTCGGCGAGACTGCATGTGTAGGAATTAGTTTCAGGGCATTCTGGAAACGGACTCTTATTGAAGAGCTATTAGCGGTCACTTAAATAATTGATGGATGGCTTTTGCTCACCTGGAAAATCCATTTCAGATAGATTGTGACAGCGTGGTACCATAAATGATAATTCAAGGTGATGATTATTTTCTGTAGCTATTTGACAGTAATTTGTGTACTGTTTGAACCTTGATTATAGCTTCGCAAACTTAATGGGCCTGACATCTCCCTTACTGGGGGGGAAAAAAATCAGTGTTCCCCTCGGCAATTAAAAACGTTTGTGCTAAAGTTCATAATCCAGGACAATGTGCAGGTATCTGCTTTTGCATTGTGGCCTTCCCTGGTGACACCCCCCCTCCCATTCAGTCCAGCGCCCGCCCCCAGGGGCAGGATCTCCCACTTTGGGAAACACTAGCCTAGCTATAGGAGGGTTTGATTGCCAAGCAGAGGTGTTCAGACATTATTATAGGCAGGGCACCCCTTTACCACTTTTTGATGAGGGCAGTGCATGAATAGAGCTGTGCCCAGGAAGGTGCCATTGGCAGCAGATGCTGAATGAGAAAGATAAAGACGTTGAATGAATAAAGGTAGGAAGGTCAGGTTTAAAACCATAGTGCCCTGGGCAGGAAGGAGGGGGTGAGGGTGTTAAGAAGTGAGTGTTCCAACAGTGGAGCTAAAAAAGAGTGGATCGTTATTAAATAAGCTTGTAAACTGTCGATCCCCATACCAATATCCAGAACCAGACGATTCTAGGTGGAGTAGACATTGGGCGTCAGTTCAGCCAGCTCTCCTCCCTGATCCTCGTGTCTACTCTGCCAGTTGACAGTGTGCCGAGAAGAGGCTGGAACTGTTGTAAAGGACTTGGCCCCTGTTGCAGGGGGACAGCTGTGGAGGCGGAGAGAAGGCCTGCAGGGCCGGCCTGGCAGCTGAACACCTATGTGATTGGGTGGGGTTTTCACACGGGAAAGAGACAGAGCAATAAATAGTACTTCTGCTCTTATTTACAATAGAGCTATGAGTATCCTTTCCCCCTGGAGGAAACAGTAGGTCATCTCTTTGCTACTTCAGTCTACTGTGTTATTAGAAGAAAAGTAGTCGCGGATTGAGAAGCAGCTGTACCCAGAGAGACATCTCGGAAACCTGAGTGCTCTTTACGCGAGTCCTCACTCAGCCTGTCCGAACCTGGGGTAGCAGCCTGCATGCTGGTTCAATGTAACAGGTCAAGAGAGCCCAGTTAGGCCTCCCATGGAGGAAATGAACTGTATGTAGACACCGTGTCGGGGGATGTGAGGTTCTGAATTAAAATGGAAGGGGCACAGTCTAGACTCTTGGGAGCTGCCGGGGCTGAGACGGGACCGGGCCAGCCCTGTGGGCTCTCTGCCCTGCTGCTCATTGAGGATGTGCTTTGGCCATGGTCCTCTGTCCTGTTTCCAGCTTCTTCGAAAGCCACCGCAGGGCCAGCCAGCATCACACTCAGAGGATAGCCCACCTCATGTTAAAAAGACCGACGTTGCCCAGGTCCAAAGGTCCCTTCCATATAGAACCATGGGTGCCTTGGGTCTTCAAAGATGTTTAGTAAGTGCTTTGAGCGGGAGAAGACTGCAAGGTGACTGTTTCAGCACAGCCAGCTGGTCTGTTTGAAAGCGAGAAAGTCGAGCTGGGAGGAAAAGCCCCCAGAATGGACTGGTGAATGGAAAACCCCAGGAGTGTGCACCTGCGCACGGTGACTTTGCTCCCTAGCCCTGTGCTGAAAGCTCCACGCACCTTTGCTTCCTCCTAACGATGTTGCCAACACGCTGGCCTTCCTGCTGCCCGTTTCTGCGACCTTGGCTGGTAAACCCTGTGCTGGGTGTGACTCCTGGACCTGGGGTCTGACAACTCCCAAATACTGAATCCACCCTCCCGGCTCTGGGGTCATTCCCTCAGAGTACTCCTCCAACATCAGTTCTTGGACCTCTAGACCCCAACCGGCTCTTCTCACATCTACGTGAGCTTCAGTGTAGCTGCTGCAGCTCTACTCTCAGCCAAACTTTTCTCGGCATCTTCAGCCTCCTCCTCCTCCTTTTGTTTCTAACAGGATCACAAGCCTGGGTAGGTTTAGCTGCCGGGTTCTGTTCATGCCCTGGCCAGGGACATCAAATTGCTGAAGAAAATCAGCCAACAGCGTCACAATTCAAGCTACCAGCTGTCATTATTGTCCACTGGTTCCAAAGTTCTCTCCCCACCCCTCCTCACCCCTCCTCACCCCGCCCCCACTCTCCAAGTCAGCTATTTCAGACATTCTCCATGGTCCTAAAGCTGAACCTTCCTTACAGCCCCCTCCCTCAGGAATTGATCCTGTTCCCTGCTGCACTGAGAAGGCTGCCCCTTCACTGCACACCTGTGCAGCTACCTCTCCTTTGCTTCTTCCTGTTAACATGACCCCGGTGTGCTGCAGTCCACCTACAAGGATCCCCGTTTCTTTGGAATAGAAGATGTTAGACACAGAAGGCCCAGGGGTTTAATGGAGGGAAGTTGGTTTGTGGATACTACACATGGATAATAAAAAAGAAGGGAAACTCAGGGATAGCTGTGAGCCTGGGCTATTAGGGAGAAGTGTTAACTCCTTTAACTGCAAAAGAGAACGATCTAAATTAAGTAGGTTTAAGAAGGGGGTGGTGATCAAATTCATTGCACCTACTGCCTCAATCTCCTCAGAAGACTGTGGCCTCCTGGTCCCTGCAGGTCATGACCATGACCGCTTGTTAGTCTAACTGCTTGTTAGACTAAGGTGGGACATTTTCTAAAAAGCATTCATATTTCTAACTGATTTCTGCATTTTTTTTTATGCCAGTGTTTCTCAAGCAGAGCTGCTGGTAGCAAAACATGGTAGAATTTCTAGCTCGTTTCTGTGGTTTCAGGGGGAAGCTTCGAGCACTAGTCTCCCCTCTGGGACCCTTTGGAAGCTTGGCATTTCTGTACTTTAGGAAAAGGGATATACCTGCTCCTCATGTATCAACATGGTTAGGTACCAGAGACCAGGTCACTAAGCACCATCAGGATCACATGAGGAGGAAGTGGTAGCCCCCAGTCTGGACTCTGGGGACTGCTGTGTTCCGGAACCCAAGGCCATGCGATTGGGGCTGGTGCTCAAACAGATCTGGGGTCTAGACACCGGCTGGGCGTGATGTCAGGATGGCTGGTGGGAATTGCCGTGCCTGCCACTGCCCCGCAGACCAGGGAGGGGCTCTGCAGAAACCAGTGACATGCTGCCGGGCTGGGAGAGCTTGGAATCGGACTCCGGTGTCTAGTAGGCAGGGTCTTCAGCTGCAGCCCCCAGGCTCTGGTTACCCTTCCTTGCCCTTCCTGCTTGCAGGACCTGGTCCCTCCAGGACGCTTGCATAGAGGAGCAGCTGCAGCAACTTTCGTCCCCTCCCCTCCCCTCCTGGGTCAGACACAGCAGGGAGCAGAAACCCTGATTATATGCGCTATGCTATCAGAGAGCCAGTGCTTTACTATTGTCCGAAATGGGAAATGGCCGGAAACATGATCATAAGTGGGAAGTAGGTGTATTTCTGTTTCTTCATGGATTCTTTTAGAATGTTTTGAATCAGATGAGCATGGCAGGCAGACAGAGCATTTACGAGCAGTGTAAGAATGACTTGTTCTCCCTGCAGTGTAAAGATCCCATAAGAAATACCATATATACTCGAGTACAAGCCAACCCAAATATCAGCCAAGGCACCTAATTTTACCACAAAAACTACACAAAAAATTGTGCTAAAAACAGCTTATACACGAGTATATACAGTATATAATAGGAAATTGGCCAAGTAAAGGCAATTTTCTTTTCTTTCTTTTCTCCCAATTTTGCTTTATTCCGTTCCCTTTCAATCAACGATGATATTTAATTTTTACTAGGGCAGCCAGCCTATAAAGTGCTTATCAATGCTGATTGACCTCTCAGTAGCTAAAATTCTGAAACTTAATTTCCATCAAAGACCATGATTCGTTCTAAATTATGGTGTGTGTATGTGTGTTTTATTTGTTTATTGTAGGAACACCGATTGCTCTTCTTCAACATGCTCATGATGAAGTTGTTACTAATACTTGCCTTTTCTGGACTCGTAGCTGGTTTTAGCAGTAACTCCTCTGACAGTTTTCTACCGAAGTTACTGCTAGTTTCCTTCGACGGCTTCAGAGCTGACTACCTGCAGAACTACGATTTCCCTCACCTCCAGAATTTCATCAAGGAAGGCGTCCTGGTAGAACACGTGAAGAACGTTTTCATCACAAAAACCTTTCCGAACCACTACAGCATCGTGACAGGCTTGTATGAGGAAAGCCACGGAGTCGTGGCCAACTCCATGTACGATGTTAGCACAGAGAAACATTTTTCGGATGCTGATGACAAGGACCCTTTCTGGTGGAATGAGGCCGTGCCCATTTGGGTGACCAATCAACTTCATGGAAACAGATCCAGCGCTGCTGCCATGTGGCCTGGCACCGACGTGTCCATTCACAACACCACACCTTCCTATTTTATGAACTACAGCCCGGCCGTGTCATTTGAAGAGAGACTAAATAACATCACCACGTGGCTGAGCAGTTCGAGCCCACCAGTCACCTTTGCAACGCTCTACTGGGAAGAACCAGATGCAAGTGGCCACAAGTATGGGCCCGAAGATACAAAACACATGAGCTCCGTGCTGAAGAAAGTCGACGACCACATTGGTGACCTAGTCCATAAACTCAAAATGCTGGGACTGTGGAAAACCCTCAATGTGATCATTACCAGTGACCATGGGATGACCCAGTGTTCCAAGGAAAGACTGATCAACTTGGACACCTGCATTAATCATACACAGTACACCCTTATTGATGTGACCCCAGTTGCGGCAATACTTCCCAAAATGAGTAAGCACACATGACGTCCTAAGGGTACAGCTAGTTGAGTGGGACCAGCTGATTGAGGACGGGGAGTTGGTACAGGAATGAAGCTCAGGCTTTTTGTACGTCAGGAGCACCTATGATGACACTTACCTCCACGTGAGAATATGGGTTTTTCCATCGTTTTCAAATTTGGGGCAACTGAGTTCATGGTCTGGGTTCCAAGTGATAAATGTCCTTGTATTTTGAAGGATTTTCTAATTATTTGCACTGATGGAAAGAGGAAGCCCTTTATCTTTAAAAGCGTCTTGGATGTTTGTGTGAGACCCATCTTTCTGTACCGCTCTTATAACAAGTTTATATGAGCTTAGGGCACCAGACATGAAAATTGCCCCCGCTCTCTAAAAACACACCGGAGATAATTCACAGAATAATGTGTGTTCTGTAGATGTCCATACTGAGTCCCCACCACTGTCCTGTAATTGTTGTCTCGTTCAGGATTACAGTGACACAGTAACTAGCGCTGTTGAGAATACATTTTCAGCTATTCAGGGTGCTTTTTGCTCCTTAGCAGCCACCCATGACCTTCTCTCTTTTGCGATTGCTTCCCCTCCAGATGTCACGCAGCTGTACAATAAACTGAAAGTCTGTAACCATCACTTGAGCGTTTACCTCAAGGAAGACATTCCTGCCAGATTTCACTACCAGCATAATGACCGCATTCAGCCTATTATTTTGGTTGCTGATGAGGGCTGGACAATTGTGATCAATGAAACACTGATAAAATGTAAGTATTTCCTGAGGGCATCTCTGGTTACTGTGGGGATACAGCACAATCCTAGCGCTGTGTTAACGTGGAACTCTGTTTAAGAGACCCTTACGTGACATGTTCCATTCTGTGCTTTACTGGATGCTTTTCGGGTCTTCATTTGAGAGCAGTTTATAATGACAGCAGTCTCGCCCTTGGCTTGGAAGGGTGGTTGGCCACTAACTAGAAAGGGAGTGTAGTTTGAGTGTCCTACCCAAACTGCAGTCTGTAGGTGACTTTCTGATTGGTTCTCGAGGTGTGCAGAAAAGGAGAGCGAGGGAAAGGAAAGAGGGTGGTGCTCGTTGGCTGCTCTAGAGTCAGCTGTGGACTCACAGTGAGCCGGTGTTCAATGGGAGGAGACCATCAGATGTTCCGTGGCTGAGTTTTGGAGGACGGTTACCAGGCCTTTCTCCCTCACCTCTCTTAGTCAGGACGTTTCAGGGAAACCATTCGGCAGCATAGCAACACAGAACCTGATCTTCTTTACTAACATCCTGTCTTCCTCTTCCAGTGGGTGACCATGGCTATGACAATGCGTTGCCCAGCATGCACCCGTTTTTAGCTGCCCATGGCCCTGCATTTCACAAAGGCTACAAGCAGAGGACAATCGACAGTGTGGATATTTATCCAATGATGTGCCACATCCTGGGATTGGAACCACAACCCAATAATGGAACTTTTGGGAATACTAAGTGTCTGTTAGTCGACCAGTGGTGCATTAATCTCCCAGAAGCCATTGGGATTGTCATTGGTGCACTTCTGGTCTTAACCACTTTAACTGGCCTCATAATAATCATGAAGAATAGACAATCTGTACCACAACCATTTTCCCGACTTCAGCTACAAGATGATGATGATGACCCTTTAATTGAATAACCTGTGCTGAGGCATTTTTTAAAAAAAACAAAGTCACAAACAAAGGACACACACAAGGAATGGTGTCATAACTCTGAAAGTGATTATGAAAGGCAAAGATGTTCGTGCCAACATGTTTCATAGTTTTGTCTTTTGTTATGGTGCATCAGCCAATATACAGTATACCCTGACCATCGTAAAAGTCTCTAGTAAATTCTTACCAGTTAACAGTCTACTTCTATAACCAGAAACATCTTTTGAGAAAAAATACTCTGTTTTCTATGTGTTCATTGTGAAGATGTGATACATCTTTAAATTAGAATACTAAAAATTTAGTAGGCATGCCTTTCTACTAAATTTATATATTTGTACATGAAAGAAAGAAATCCTTATGCAATTATTGAATTTTTTTGTATCAGGGAAGAAATGTTTCCTATATTTTTATATTGCTATTTAATAGTTTGTATCCCAAGTAAACCCTTGTAGTAGGAAATCCCTTTCAATGGTTAATAAAATTAGTTAACCCAGCAGTAGATTTTGCACATGTAAAGTATTTTAGGGAAAGCTATTATAAACCAAAACTAACGAAAGTCACTTGATAGGAGTCAGTTGTAACTGGTATCTTTAAGACTTATAAGTTGTTAAAAGCCTTTAAAGACTTTCTCTTTGAAGATAATCACTAGTAAGAAATTTGGAATGTAGAAAAGTGGTGCAGACATTTGGTCAATGCTTTTGCGGCTAATGCGTTTGTGTAAGTCATTTGTGTGTGTGTGTGTGTGTGTGTACAATGTGCATGCACAAATGTCACGTACTTTGTCGTAGAAGGAAGCCAAAGGTGAGTTGGGCTTTTTATAGTTTGGTTTTTACAGTCCCCTGAAACACAATTCTCAGAAAATCTTATTTTTACATTTCATATTAACTTTCTCCTAACTCACAAGTTTAAATCTTAATTTTAAAAATTATGTTTATTTACAATTTTTAACTTGAGGCATGCAAGTGCTATAGAGAGATTTCCTACCTGAACACGCATTTGGGTTAGGTTGGGTCAGAATGAGGAAGACAGACATTTTTGGTCTTACTTTAGGGTTCAGAATTCGAAATGGAATATGTCCATTTTGACCTTTAAAGTCAGTCAGTCAGCTAAGGGATAGAACATTCTCTCAAAACTCTGTGGACAGTCAGTAGCCCCAAAGCTGCCTCTATTTCTGTTTTCCAGTCTTTGGATGACAGAAACAATGGCCCTGCCTCCATCTCTGACCAGGCCTGTTCAGTCAGGGACTGACTGTGGGAAAACCATAGTGCTTCCTTGGCTAGGTGGTGCCTCCTGAGAATGACAAATTCATAAGCAGAAACTGAGCCGTGGCAGACCAGGCTTTATCTAGGAGAGACATTGCATCCAAGAACCACTCACGACTTGAGACAAGAAATTCATTAGTATCAACAATGTGATCGTTCATTCTTTAGCAAGATAAACTGGGTCATTGTGCTGCAGATGCAAAAATAATGCACAGAGAATGTGCAGTGTAACTTAGTGTTGATTACCTGTGATGGTGAAAAATACTGTGCCAATGGAACATTAATTCCTCTTCTTGGGTTACTGTTAGTTTCTAGAGCCCATTTGAGGTCCCTGTGTTAGTAACTCAGACTACAGATGGCTCGAAAGAGCTGGTTGTCTGGAGACGGGCACCATTAACAAATGAAATACAGTCCATAGGCCTGCTGCTGCTTGGTAAATTTATCTCCACTCCCCCCCACCCCACCCCCCACAAAAAAAAACACTGAAAGTTAGAGATGATAGGAATGAAAAAACAGAAAAATTCTTCTGAAATTCAGTTTCAGTTTTTAAAAATAACAAAGAATTGAGCTGTCACATTTAAGCCCCCTCCCCTTTAAGTAGTGGACATATTTCGATCCCGGTCTTCGCAGTGCGGTGAGTTTTAGTGACTTCATTAGGTTGATGGGAGATCCAGGTAGCCCACCTGAGTGGGATTTATCCCACATGATAAAATAGGTGAGGCTATTCTGTCACGGGCTTAACCCTTTCAACAAGACACTCACCTGCTTGTCTCTCATTTCATTATAAAAAAATTTGCATTTTAGATGAGATAAATTGCTTTTATATGTGTGAGCAGGGCAGTATTTGTTCAAAGAGTTTATGTTGTTCTGTTGAACTTTGTGTATTAATTCATGTTTGTTTTGTTAAACCACCACTCTTTAAGCTAATTTCTCTTCTAGTTCCCTAAGAATAACTCTTGGTAATGTGATCCTCCTACAGTAAGATTCTGGTGGGTTTTTAAAAATGATGGACTGAGACGCTCAGTGTGGTCTGGGTCGTCAGAAGTCCTGGAATCCAGGAAGTATTCAGTTGGGCATGACAAGAGCCACAACCGGCAATTGGAAACGTTTGGGTGCAGTGTTTTGCTGTTCTTGTTAAGCCAGTGGAAGCCCCTTTCAGAATTGACAGTCTGTTTACTCAAGAGGGACGACAGTTCTGCGGCTGTTGTTACTGTACAGGTTCTCCTAGACTAAGACGTATTTGAATGCTCCGCACCATAGCTCTGTGTTACTGCGCCCTTGGGCTTGGTGGAAGTATCTGAAGATCAAAGATCTTGGAATACTGGAAGGATAAGAGTGCATTTCACGGTCCGTGGGCGGGCCCCCTGTGAGCTGTATCTCACAAACTGGAAAGGGGATCGCGCGTCATGCCTTCTGTTTGGAGGACTTCACCGTGAACGCTCAGAGCTACCAATGAAGAGCAGACATGGGATGGCGAGTGTGTATTTATTGTCAGTTTTTAAAGTGGTGTTTACATGAAGTGTCATGAGTGTTCTTTCAAGAAATGTATGTGCAGTACCTTAAGTTAAAGTAAAATGTTTTGACTTGTTTGAATTCATAGTTAATGACTTTGCTTATGATTAAACATTTTTTTATGTGAGTAAAACCTTCCAAAGTGTTCTTACTGTAATTATTAAGTGTAAATATTAATTTCCATGTCATTGATACACTTTTTTCATTGGGCACTTTCTTGTAATATATCTATAGTGTAATAGAATGTTGAGATGACAGTGTTACTGCGTAACCTCACACCTTGATACAAATGTTTTTTATTCTGTACATTCAGGGTTGTGTGTATGACATTTCACCAGATCAAAACCATGGACATGGACACAATTCAGCATAACACCTTCCCTGGAAAGGGAGTTGTGCAGAGCTTCTAGAACTTTCACCCACTGACTCAGAGCAGTCGTATTCAGAAATGTAATAGCCTAGCATGCCTATTGTAGCAGAGAAAAAATTTAAAATCAGTGCTTAATCTTCCACTTTACAAAACCAGAAAAAGATGAAAATAATCTAAAGTAAATGGAAGGAAGGAAATAATATTAAGGTAAAAATCAGAATTAATGAAACAGAAAAGCCAAAATTTTAGTTTTTAAATATTAAGAAAACGGTTTAACTCCTAGCAAAAACCACTCATAAAAAAAGTAGAAATTTTGTTCTAGCTGTAATTTTGGGGAAATTGTTACAACAAAGCCTATGTATATCAAAAAGGATAAGAGAATATCATGCTAACAAGTTGGACAATATAGGTAAAATGGACAATTCCTTGAAAAATACAACTAACCAAAGATGGCACAAAATAAAATGGAAAAGTTTAATAGGCCCTAGATCTGTCGCAAATCAGTGTACCAGAAACCTGAGTCTAAATGAGTTCACTGATAAGTTCTATCATACACTTGAAGAAATGATGCCAACCTTACACAAACCCTTAGAGAACCCAAGGAAGGAATATAACCCAACTGGTTTTATAAGGACTTCCTAATACTGGTGCCCAAACTGGGTGAAAAGATTCAAAGCGCATCATGTACCACTGTCCCTGTGAACAAAAAGGCGACCACACTCAGCTAATGTCATTTAAGAGTCCGAATTTCAAAAGGTTGAAACGTCATCAAAGGGGTGAGATTATCCTAGGGATGTAACATTTGTTTAGTATTTGAAATCAATGTCATGCCCTATATTAATAGGCAAAATAGGATACATGATCATCTAAATCAATGTGGAAAATGCATTTGGTGAAATGTAACATCTATGATTTTTCTAAAAAAAAAAAAAAACACAACACCCAAACTACAGCAAACAGAACAGAAGGCAACTTCCTCAAGCTGATCAGAACTCAAACCACAAACCAGCCTC